TTGTAGAAGAACAATTAAAATCAATTTTCAATTCTTTCAAGAATGGTAGCTGATATTCTTAACATTTTAATCACCATAATAGCTAGTAGATCTTCATTTACCATCGGTTTACATATCTTGACAAAGTGTAAAACTTTTTTTATTCGAACAAATGTTCAGGCTCTTATTTGTACTTATAACTACCGCACAGTTTTATTTTAGATAAGGTAAATGAAGACAAAAATCTTAATATTTTTATCACTGAAGAAGAGCTCACTTGTAGTAAAGAACAATCAAATATTACTGATCTTGATGATACTGATGAAGATGAAGATAAAGATAATAATTATGTTGATATTGTTAATCTTTAACTGCTAGGTTTTATCTTTCTGTTTTTCGTGTTTTGTTAGATTTTGATTTTTTTTAATTTTGGATAATAGTTTATTGGCATTTAATTTTTTTCTATACACCACTAATTTATTCTACTTATATTTATAATTTGAATAAAAAATCTTAGAAGTTTTGTTGTTTTATTTTTTATTTTAAAATAATTAAAAAGAATTTAAATTTTAAAAAATAACATAAAAGGGCCAGCCCTTTTAAGCCCTGAGCCCGCATGTCCAAGGGCCGGGTTTTAATAATTAGATAATTTTAAGGTATGTGGACTTTAAAGGGCCGGCCCTTTTAAGCCCTAGCCCTTCAAGGGCTAGCCTTTTAGGGCCAGGTTGACCCTTATTGACAGCTCTAATTTTCATACGCTTGTTATCATATTTTAGTTGAGATTGAACTTGATTTTATTTTATTTTCAATTTGCATATATTGATGATAGTTTTTGCATATATTTATCATTAATCATTTGTTATGGGCCACAAAATGTGTCAGCTGAAATGATTTCAGATTTACACACACATATATATCATGAATTATGAATCAAATCTAATACTTGAAGTTAAAAAAAAAAAAAAAACTGCTGCTACTAATGTTTGATTCAGATATTGACGAACAAAACATTTGAAGAACAACAAGATCTTTATATAAGGTTGGATCATATGCTGATTTTTCATCTATCCCTCATGGACAATCAAATTTGATTTTCAACAATCAATTAGTTTTGAGATATGCCGTATTAGCTGCAACATTATATCATTTAGTTACACATTTTTAGGAAATATTTGATGATTAAAAAAATAAATTAGTAGTTTGTTTCAGTCAAAATTTATTCCTTGTATTTAGCCAGATAGCGATTAATTTGTGCTGATTTTTAGGAATTTTTTATTACAGATTGAGGTAACATAAGCCAGATTTTTTCGGACAGTTATGGATACATGCATAGAGAAACAGATGAGCTTGGATTATGGTGTTTGATCAATTACAATATCTAGGAAATTTTTTATAAGATAGGTTTTTTTTTTGAAGAATTCAAAGAATTTATTAGACAAATTTTTATATAGTAACGATGTATAGGATTTTGAATTCCATAAATATAACATCTTTATTTTATATTGTTCGCTTGCTATCATTCTTTGATTATAATATATGTTATAGTAAATATTAAAAATAAAAAATGAATAAAGATATATAATAAAAAATAATTATAAAATATCAAGACCCTTACTTGACAGTTATTAAGGGGCTTACTTGACTGTTCTTGTGAATAACCGTCAAATAAAATGTTAAAAAACATCAAATATTTGTACATAGCAAATATGACGCATCTTACTTGACACTTACTTGACACTTTTTTTATAAATCGAAATAAATTTATTTACATATTTACTTCGTATACCGTAAAATTACTTTTAAAATTATAATTGGGTTTCCATCTAAACACTTTTTTAATCTGCTCATCCTTTTCAAAAATTTGGTGGTCTAGCTAGCTACGTGGACTAGTTAGCTAGCAAGTCCCAAGCCATTCGATTTTTGGAACACTTGAGATCATGTATATAGATATTTTCAACTGGGGACCAAGTATGTATAATTGTCTGTATGTGTAGTGGTGTACGACATGGGATTAAATACCATGTGGGCAACGGGTACGACCCAAGGCCTCAGCATTTTGACACACACATTATATTCGGTGGTTTTTTATGCTAATAAATGATAAATGATGTGGGTATCAGGGCAATTAATATATTGAGCAAATATTAAAGTTCTCTACCTTGCATTTAACCTACGTACTCGCTGGTGACATCAATGTTCTGACATTTTTGTTTGATCCCACGCACATCAAGTCTCAGTTTCTGTTAATAGTAATACGTAGTACCTTCGGGATTTCAAATTTAGTCAAACTTTCATCTATATGGTCACAAAATTAACAAGAATGTTTCTTTTTCTTTTTGAATTGCGATCGACGATCATCATCTGCAGGCAGAAAATGATGAAATTTGATTTTGTGAGTTGTTGCAGAAACTGATGCTCACTTGTCAATCCTCATCATCCATTCGTCTGGCCGGCAGGTAACCACATAAATGATGGAGGTAGAACTGATTATTTTTTTAAAAAAAATTATTAAAACCAAATGAACCAGGCATATCATTTTTTCCCATATATTTTGAATGATAGAAAGTGATAATCCAGCTCAAAGCTGAGTTCTGTCCACATCTAGGCCACCAAGAATTCATTGCTTGCCGGTCTTGTTGCTCTAAAATGGACAGTTCATGTTCAACATTGCGTCTTCAATATAATGGCTATAGGTCTTGTTTAGGACCACAATTACAAACAAATATAAGCATATTTCATATAAATCAAGATAAAACTCTTCTCACATACTTGTATCATATTTTCTAAATTAAAATTAAAATACTGTTTATAAGTTATTCTAAACGAGTTCTTAATTTCATACCTCATTTTCAAAGAAGTTTCAAAGACAACCACTCAACAGCTGGCTGTTTTATATTGATTTTAATTATATTTATGCAATTAGGTAATTATTTTATATATCTTAAAACACTGGTCCACCCATTGCGGTTATTTAATGTCTGTCTCCCTTCTCGTGGAGGAGGTTTCGCCAGCGCCAAAAGTGATTTGAACTGAGAGACGTACGAGAAGGAACTGATAATATAACTACACACACACACACACGCACCAATGACAAAATTTAATAATCATAAACCCGTGTCTTTTTTTCATTATTGGAATCTCATTCTTAATATGGCCAATTAACTGACACTACAAGAATGAAATATATACACTTATTGCTATGTATTATCAATTCAAATATATGCTTTTCGGGTGCAGCTGTGGTAGATATATATATATATATATTTATATAAGTGGAACCTATAGCAAGGAATACTTTTATTGTTTATTCGATTGATGACTATATTCTCATTTATATTAATTAATTAATTAAGTAAAAAAATATTATGTTAATGATGCATATGGGGATTGATTATGATTCAGGAACCATATATTTTTGGGGTTGCTTTATAGTAGCGTCCATATATAAATAAAGGTAGCTTTGGATTGAGCAGAATAAAATTATATTATTTAATCTTAGTGGTGGGAATATCCTTATGTCAGCTAGCTAGCTTTGCTTCTTTTTTTTTCGCTTTCCCTGCTAATTTCGAATTGTACTAATCATCACTGTTCCTTATATTTTAGTCGGGAAGCTGAGGGGACATAATTAGATTCCGAAGCATGGTTTTCTATATAATCCCAGGGGAAATTAAAAAGCAGAAAAGCAAAAAAAAAAAAGGGTCCAAAGAAAGCCATTTGCCAACTGGGGAGTGGTAGTTAAACAAGGGAGGCCATCAAAGTTGATATGGCAGAGAGCCAATGATTAAATGCGACCATCGAAAGGTTGGCCCACAGAATGAACGGTGTTGATTGATTGACGGGGGCTGGTTGGTGGGCCCGCTCACCGGTGGGGTCATTATATTATTAGCTACCGAGATTTTTTTATTTAAAGATTTAAGACTCGCCGTGGATCTTCCTCTGCTGTGCCGGCAACTACTGTTGTTCCGTGAGAAAGGGAAATCTTTTTGTTTTTCTGAAAAAATAAATTTTAAAAATTGGAGGAATGATCCACCTGTTTGTCAGTGAAATTGTACATTGGTTCAGGCAATGAGCAGCAGGTGGGGTCCACCACCTGAAGCAACACCTGGAACCGATAAGGTCGTGACCCCACAGTACTATTACCCCCCCCTTCCCTCTCTGAAAAATCTTAATCATTGATGCGGTAAAAACCTCGAACTTCATGGCGCACAGTGCAGAATCTGAAGGATGAAATTTAAAAAAGCGCTGTAAATTTGGGGGTATTTGGATATTTTTAGAAATAATTTTGAAAAATATTTTTTTAAATCTAGATAATTTTTTTTATATATTTACTTTATATATCGTAAAATTACTTTTAAAATGATGATTTAGTTTCTATTTAAATACTACTTAATATATTGTTGTTATTACTACCTCTGTTTCTTAATGTAAGAGCTGATTTAACTTTTAATTTAGTTTTAAATATAAAATTTTAAACCACTTTATTTTTAATATTTATCCTTTTTTTTAAGTAATCCCTATAGTAATTACATGTGTTAAAGAGTTACTATCAATTTGTAATTCAAATACACATGACTAAATAACTAATTTAACTAATTTTTAATCTCTTTAAACTAGTTAATTAAATCTTATATTAAAAAGATGAGATGGTATAATTTATTGTAATGCTTGGCTATAAATGCTGAATTTATGTCTGCCTTGCGGTAACACTGTTTTATCCCTCCACTGTCACACGCACGAACTTGTGGCCCATAAAGGTGGTGACAGATATTTATTTCTTTTAGAATAAAAGGGAAAAAATAAATGAATAAAACCCTATAAAATGCCAGTTAGGTAGGAAAGGAGGAAACTTACCCAAGGCCAGGGAAGCGAGTCGTTTTCCATCTTCTGTTGAACATAAAAAGCATAAAATTACAAAGTAAAAGGCTGGGATGTAAAAAAGAAAAAGAAAAGGTAAAAAATTGCACAAACAATGATGGTAAGATATCGTGTAGTGAAATAATTCGGAAAAAAAAAAAGGAGACATATAAAAAATTTTGGAAAAAAAATAAATAAAGAGGCACCCAAATACCCCCATTGTTAAATAGTGTCATCATCTTTCCTCAAACCCTAAAAAAACCCTCTCCTGAGATGTCTTTCCTTCCTCCTTCTCACAGCTCCTCGCGCTCTCTTCCAAAATATATTAATCACACCAAAAAAATTTAATCTGGGAAGAAATAAATTAAACTGAATTTTTAACAACAATCAAACCTCACGTGTGTCAATACATCATCAAACAACTACACATGTAAGGAAGCACATCATGATGATCCTCTCTATGAGTGGTGGCTGGTGGTGTCGTGCCGATCGTCGCCTCCGCCTCCGTGATGTGAGTGGGACCCGCTCGCCTGAGACTCTGACAGCCCGATCACCGGCCGGTACGGGCTCAGCCCTGCCAGCATGCTCAAATGTCCTTCGTTAATGTTGCCGCCCCCGCCCCCGGCCCCGCCCCCGCCGCCACTACTTATCCCCGACGAACCTAATTGCTGACTCGGCAATAAGGCCATGGGTGTGGGGAAGTTCATGAAGTGCAACGCACTTGACATGCTTCCCCTATACAATCCACTGTTGTTTACCGACGGGAATGTCCATATAGGATCACCGCTCATGACCTGGTTACTTGAATTCGTCAACATCCAAATGTTGGCTGGAATCTGAGCATGGCTGGCCGGGATCGCCCCTGCGCTCGACTGCAACAGATAACTCCCCATTTGATGCTGCGTTGACGACAAGTCCTGCTCCGTCGGCCGCCGTTTCCTTCCCATCCCTTCTTCCGGGGTGTCTGGCGAAAAATCCAACGTCGTAGCAGCCGAAGGCGGACCCTCCCCCTCGCGCAGCTCTTGCTTAGCTTGCAACAGGTTTGTGGTTAGGTTACTGGATTGAAAATTTAGAAGCGTAGAGGCGGGGGTATTATCGGAAGACAAACCAATTCCTGGGAATAGACTCCGGCGCTGTTGGACGGAGAAGTTGGGGTTAAAGTAGGACGATCTTAACTGAGAAGGGACCGACATAGTGGATCCTGAGCTCCTCAAGGATATGTTAAGCGAAGTGAAGTTAGCCGGGATGGTCCCAGTGCCGGTGGCAGCGATGACAGCAGGCTCAGCCTGCTGGAGCAGCCACTCGATGGTCTCACCGTCAGACTTGTGGCCGAGCTCGCGAGTGAGCTGGAAGACTCGAGCTGCACAAAGGGCAGGCATTCTAATGCGACGGCCACGTCCGTCGACCTTGGTGTGGCGGTCCTTGGTGGAGGTTCTCTTAGGCGGAGGCTTCTTATTGGAAGCAGGTTCGGTGGAAGGAACGATCTGGTTGGATCGATTGGGATTGGGGGAGGCAGGTTCGGCAGAGATGGCTAGAGAAGGGTAAGGGGAAGACGTGGAGCAAGAAGCAGCTTCCTGATCTTCTTTCTTCTCGAGGAGCTGAAAGGGAAAGGTGGGACGGTGGTGATGATGGTGGTTGTGGTGGTGGTGGTGGTGGAGATCATCTCCTCCTTCCATTAAAGTGACTGGCTTGTTGTTAGAGAGAGGGAGAGAGGCAGTGTATGAAATAAGCGAGACTATATAGTTTAATCTATCAGTGGTGGGTCTTGCTCATCAGTGGCTATATTTAGAGAAGAAAATGAGCATGAGGGTTTTTCGACTTCACTTGCTTTCTCTCTCGGTACAAAGGGAAGGAATTTGCAGCTGGGGAGAGAGGAAGGGGAGGGATAAGCAGGCAGGCAAAGATAATGAGTGGGAATTATACGGGTGAGAGAGCTTTAATAAAATTAAAAAGCGTGATTTTTATAGCAGAAAAGAGAAAGTTGCTTTTAGTCGGAATTAATATTTTTAATTTTGTGAGGGGAGGGGGGAGGGGGGGGGTTGGGGGCTTTTTATTGTGGTTGGACAGCGTCTTTGGTTCAGAGTCCACGTGAGGTGCTGTTTTTTATGATTCAATCCATGAAGACATGGGAGGCCGGGGTGGGACCCCATCCCAAGTCAAAAAATTTTAGAGAGACCTGGAAAGTAAAGATTATGGGGGTGGGTCCCACGTCATTCAACTCATCATTTCCTTCTGCGCCTTTGATGAGGAGGAAGCTTTGGGATTCCTCTCTCTTCGGGCCTCAGATCATGACCAACAACGGCACCATTATGTCTTTATTACAAATAATTCAACTTAAAAACCCAACCCTTCCTCTCTTCCTCCTTCATCACTTGTGCCGCTTCCAAGCATCTTGGTCCCGAGCTACTGCAACTATCAGTTTCAAAGTCCCTCATTATCCATAATTAGCTTCCCGTACCTTGTACCCAACCCCACTCTTACCTATAAATATATATATATATATATATATATCTCTTTTTCACTTTCAAAGCGCTCTTTTTACTATAATAGGCATGCTCATCAACTCCCCTCTTCCTGCCATGCCAGTCTCTATCATTACCCCCCTCCCTCGTTTTTCACTAACGCCTCCTCATCAACTCTAGCTATTATCATTGGTAATGTCACTTGCTAGCCTTATGATCTAGCAGCATAAAAAGCTCTCTGTATAAGAAAAAAATTATGAGTTCAATCCTGCTTATAACTCTCTAAGACAGCTCACCAATATAATACACAAGGGAGAGTCTTTACCTACCCTTTCTAATTCTGAGATTTGAATCTGTCACCTCCAAATCACATGATAGCAACCTTTGTCGTGTTACTCTTACTATCCACCCCCACTAATTTAAAAAAAAAATTATCATTACCTTTACTCACCAATTGTGCCCTGAATTCCAAAATACCTGCGGCAAAAAAACAGGAAAAAATATACTACTCCGGTTCTTGATTAAACAGCTAGTTGACTAATTTGAGTAGATTAAAAAAATTAGTTAAGTTACTTATCTGTAATAAATAACTACTGTCTTTCTTTAAATATCCTTGTTAATCAAGTGTATTGGCTAGAACTATCATTATTACAAGGACTATTTTAAAAAAAATTAATAAATATAAGAGATAAAGTAGATTAGAGTCTTATATTTAAAACCAAAATAAAAATTAAACGAGTTGTTATATTAAGGACTAGTATATAAGTAGGCTGTATATGTGTATATATTGTGAGTGATGAGGTTGTTGAGGGAGAGGAGCAGCAGACAGTAGTAAATGGCAAAGGATGCTAATACTTGTAACAGTACAAATTAAAGGAGAAAGAGCGAGTCGCTGTGCAAATGTGTGTGTGTGGGTTAGGGAAGTTGTGTTGATTTCTGGGGAAGCTTTTGTTGTTGCTGCTGAGGTTGACACTACTGTGCCCACCTTCGTAACTTCGTTTTCCTCGCATTTATATTCACTAGGTTGTATATGTCTATTGTCTAGTTCCTCCTCCACCAATATTAAAATGACACTTTCTGATATAATGGACACAGATCATATGCAATCGATAACCAATTAATTAATTAAACACACACAAACTCTTGTTCTCCCTAGCTTGTACTTCTCCCTGGCAACTAATTAATATCACTTCCCACAGTCATATTATTCCTGCTGTGAAAATCCCAATCATTTTGGTCCGTACCCGCAGATCAAGGAGTAAATAATTAATGGAGCCACCAAGATATATGAGCTTCTTATGTTCAAGTATGAAGAATCAATTTAATTCCCTTGGAAATCATCAAATGTATGTGTTAATTAGAATGGAATTTAATTGTAAAAAAGAAAAGAAAATGAAGAGTTGGGCACATGAATCCCAGCTTTTTGACACCATATAAATATATATATATATATATATATATGTATATATCTTATGGTCAAAGTACAAGTCAAGCAATGCGAAGACTAAACGTACCGACAAGTTCACAGAAAGCTCACCTCAATCAAACCTTATTATTATATAGTAAAACACAAATTTACCATATTCGACCGAATTATTACCAGTTATTTCAATCCATTATTTGATATTTTCTTTCCTTAAACAAAATCTTAAGTTCGAGTCTTGTGAATTACAAACTATCTGCTATATCTTGTTTTGGATCAGCTAGAATCTAATATAGTTAAAGTTGGTATGTAGATAACGATTTTTTCTACTGCAAAATAAAAAATTAAAATGAAAACTAATGATAAATAATTTATTAATTGACAAATTAAATCAGGTCCAGATAACGTAACAATTATAATTTTGATATGCAACAACAATCAGCCGCTAATGAGTCATTTTTTTGCAAAAGAAGTTAAAATAAAATCTAGGCGAGGGGGTTTTGAAGGCTTACTAGCTAGGGTTTTGCAAAGTCTCATTGCGTAAGCAACGACTAAAAAATTATTTATATATAAAGAGAAGAACTTTAAATTTTTTTTGTTTGGTGGGGCAAGGAAGGCAAGTGGCATACCGTCCTCTAGGCTTTAGTGACCAAATATTGGGGAAAAAAATCGTTACATTACATGATCAATTATGTGGAAAAATTCATAATATAATTAAAAAACAAAGCTGGACCTAGGTATGAGGATATATATATATAAGTAGGTTACAAAATAACAAGGCTTTATGATCATGAGTTTGGAAAATATTATATGTAAGAGGTAATTTATAATAAAGAGAGCTGCAACATCATTCCCCCATGCTCAATTATTATTCTCAATATTTAAATATGTGATATTAAAGTGTTATTTTAATACAGATTAATTTAAAAAACAGTTGAAGGCTAACTTTTTCCCAGAAAACAAATCATAAGATGGGATTTGCTTTAAAGTATGCATTAATAATTATTGTTTGCTTTAAAATAAAAATATAAGAATGAAAGAACAATAGCTAGCAGATATAGGGGAAGATGGCTTCAGACTTGTTAATAGGATCATCTTCATTATAATCCTAAGCAAGTGGAAGATTGCTGGGATTTTCATTGTACCCACAACTCAAAAAGAGGAACACATACATATATATACACACGTTTGTAATCTTTAACTTGTCTCTGATCTCTCCCTCTCTCTCTCTCTCTATAAAATTTGAATAAAAATTTTGATGTGGAAGAAAAAGACAGGATACCATCCACTAATCAGCAAACATTTACCTCTCTTGTCCTTCAATTCAATTGCACAACCTCTCCTGCCTAGCCTGGCCTTCCAAAACTGCAAATTAGTACCTGCATTTTGGTCCCACCTCAATGCTAGTTGTCATATATGAAAATGATTTCTACCCAGGTTTCCATTTATTGCTGTCCTCTTTCACAGCTCTCTCTCTCTCTCTCTCTATATATATATATATATATATAAAAGAAAATAAGTAAATGTATGGCCAGCAAAAGTTCCCCTTCCTCTGATTTTATGTACTCTCTCCCATCATCCTTACTATAAGCATCCAATAACAACTTTACAGAAATGGATGAATGTAGTTAAATTAGTTACTTCTAAAATATTAAAATTATTTAAAATTCATTAGTTATAGGAGTCCAACTAATTAGTTATTACCAAGTTTCATAGTTAGTCAGGAACACTACATGAAAAAAATCAATACTTTAAGCACAACATGTTATACTATGAAACCTGTTGGAAGTTCTTTATAATAAGAACCAAAGGAAGTATCAGATATAGTTTTCACATGCATAATTCAACGGATGAGTAGGAAGCATCTTTCAATACCCGGATTTCATTGTGTTATCTAGATACTCCTGCGATCCTAAATATAAGACCCTTATACACACTATAAAACCCTCATACTAGTATGTTAAGGGTCTTATATTTAGGACCTGTGGAGTATTTATTTTTTTATGTCGACATGGTGTCATTGAGCATAAAATTTAAATTCACAAGTCATAAAAAATTATAGCTAATTTTTTTAAAATAATGGTGCAAATAGTAAAGGAGTTACATGAAAATTCAAAAAAAAAAAAACCAAGGAGGAAGAATGATTGGGATGAGAAGGACGAAGAGTTGAAATGGGCATTCGTGTGTTGTGGGGAAAGGGAAGATTATCAGTGGACATGTGATGAAGGGCCACTCTGCTGCCGCTGCCTCCCTTATCAGAGGTAGACAGTTGGAATCTTTGTGAGCATATTGACCCAGCAACCCCTCCTCCAACAACCATTTTTCATTTCAATTATTCCTTAATAAATATTAATTATCTTTCAGATTTAATCACGCTTCTCTCTCTGCTTTTTTTTTTTTAAAGCCACGTAACGAGTATAACCATAAAAAAAAAAGATACAAAAACAAAGCAAACCAATAGCCCAAAACGAAAAGGCTCGCAAAACATAAAGCCCCACACGAACAAAGCCCACACAAAAACCCAACTTTAATTAAATTAAACTATTCCATAAAACTGATTAAAACTTTCAATTAATTAAACAATTAAGCTTCCACCAAATCTTATCTCATCCAAAGGACAAGTCGAATGATCCGAAACCAGCAAGCTGGGTCCCTGTCCGCTCTCACATGTACTCGTACTTTCAACGTTTCTTGGAATCGTATTGGCTCCTAATTCCACAAATTAATTATTAATCATTTAATTAATTGAAAAACAGCAACGTTGGATGATGCCAAGTTATGCGGCAAACGGCTGGAAAGAATGTACTAATGACACAATCATACCCCAGGAGCTCTCTGCTTGCTTAAACCTGACAAAACCAGCCGCCATCACTGTTGTCAGTCAATATTTGCAACCATCCAGGTTACCACGTCCCAAATAGTTGTTACGTCCTCTCATCGTTTGTGCCTTGTGAAAAGGCTGTCATTTTTTCTTCTTAAAAAAATTACATAATGC